GGGGCACGATATTTAAATCCGCCCTGCGCTGACACTGGTTGCCGTCCGGTCTATCCTGTTTTCCCTGCTTCTGTATTCGTTGATATTTGATCATTGCTGACCCAGATTGCCCCTGACTGTGCTGTATTCTCCTGCTCTGACCCCTGGCTTGCCTGGGCCTCTCTCTTGGATGCCCCCTATTGTATCTGATCTTCTGGTACTGACCCTGCGTGTGACCCGACTATCCTATGCCTGCCGCCTTGTACCGCGCTACTCCCACGGTAACCGACCCGGCCTGTCTGACCACGAATTCATCCATCCATCCATCCTGCTCGGGCCCTTCCGCCTCTTCACATCAGGCTCTCATCTTGTAGATATCTCCTGCGGATCCCTCTACCACGGGTGGGCGTACTCAGAGGCCGCGACCTGGTCCTGGTCTGCTCCAAGTCCATCCCCACCATCAGGGGCCCTGGTGAACAAGGAGACCGGGACTTAGACTTTGTGCTTGGGGAATCCTTTCCGGTGGGTTGCCAGAGGTACTGCCAGGTGGATCATTACAGTACCAGACGGCCATGACAGAGCCTGGAAGAGGACCATCCCCCCTAGAGGATATATGCCAGCATCTGGCGGCTCTAACCCAAGCCGTCAAGACGCTACAAGATGGATACGCACACCTGGAAAATCGCATGCAGACGCTAGTCGCACCTGCTACCACCTCCACGAGTCTGGCTACCCCCGCTCCATCCGGGTAATCTTCAGGTTCATCTACTGGAGCGGTAGCCACGCCATCCACCCCAGAACCCCGTGTTCCATTACCAGAACGCTTCCGCGGGGACCGAGGCCGATTCAGGGCCTTCCGGAATGCGGGTCTCCTTTTTTTTCAACCTGCAGCCACGCACGTTTTCCACAGAGGCAGTTAAGGTGGGATTTATCTTCTCCCTGCACCAGGATGAACCCCAGGACTGGGCTCACCATCTGATGGAGAACCACGATCCCCACCTGGAAACGGTAACAGATTTTTTTGATGCTATGGCCGTGTTATATGATGACCCGCAGCGGACAGCCTCCGCAGAAACGGCATTATACCCCCTCCGACAAGGCCGCTGGGCGGCGGAGGAATATGCATCAGAGTTTAGACGATGGATGGGGGATACCCGGTGGAATGACGCTGCATTATGCCACCAATTCCGCATCAGACTCTCCGAGGCTCTAAAGGATGAGTTAGCCCGGGTAGGCCTTGCCGACTCTTTGGAGGACCTCATTACTTTGGCCATTCAGATAGACCGCAGGCTGCGGGAACACCGGTTTGAGAGGACCAGCCAGGGTCAGAAGGCAACATGGATACCCCTGCGGGGAGCAGCCCAACCTCTGTTGGGAGGAAACCGGATCTCAGAGCCTGTGGACACCTCTGAACCCATGCAGCTGGGACTGGCTTGGCCATCGTTATCAGCTGAAGAACGCCAGAGGAGGCGGTCCCAGAACCTATGCCTGTTTTGTGGAGAAGCCGGTCATATGGTGCGTTCCTGCCCGGCAAAAATGAGTAAGTCTGCCTCTATTTCTTCTTCTATATCTGCTGAAAGTCCCAACCAGTCCAGTTACTTAGCTATACCTGTTTCCTTTCAGCTCCCAGGAAGAACCGTGTCGGTGATGGCAATAATTGATTCCGGAGTATGCAGTTGCTTTGTGGATTTAACTTTTGCCAATCAACAGAGAATCCCCCTCCAGACTACGGAACGGGGCCTTAATATCTTTTTGGCCGACGGGTCATGTAATAAGTCAGGAGTGGTGGACCAGGAGACTCCTTCTATCCACACTACAGTAGCTGGCCATCATCGAGAGTTTCTCCGACTGAACGCTATAGCCTCCCCTCTTTTCCCAATCATTCTGGGGCTTCCTTGGTTGCGGGCCCATAAGCCCCAGATTGATTGGGAGACCGGGTCTATTCATTTTCAATCCCCGTATTGTCGGGAACACCGCCACGCCTTGGGCCCTGCAGCTCCCCAGTTCCTCCTATGCGCAGACGGGGATTCTAACCTAACTCAAATGATTCCCCGGCCTACCATAGTTTTCTGGATGTCTTCAGCAAACGGGGAGCAGATGTCCTTCCTCCACACCGAACATATGACTGTCCCATTGACCTCCTGCCTGGTTCCGAGATTCCATTCGGTCGGATTTTCCCCCTCTCTGAGCTAGAATTAGGGGTTCTCAAGGAGTTCATCGATGAGAACCTCCGAAAAGGGTTCATTCGTCCATCCACATCACCAGCCGGGGCCGGAATTTTCTTTGTTAAGAAACAAGATAAGTCCTTACGGCCCTGCATTGATTATCACGATCTAAACAAGATCACAATAAAAAATCGCTACCCACTGTCCCTGGTCCCAGAACTCTTCCAGAGACTGAAATCCGCGGCGATCTTTACAAAACTAGATTTAAGAGGGGCATACAATCTGGTCGATATAAGGGAAGGGGATGAGTGGAAAACTGCGTTTCGTACTCGATTCAGCCATTTTGAATATTTGGTCATGCCATTTGGACTCTGCAACGCCCAAGCCACGTTCCAACACTTCAACAATGTATTTCGTGATTATCTTGATGTTTTCGTGGTCATCTATTTAGATGACATATTAATCTTCTCTTCACTCGAAGCTCATAGGGGTCATATGACAAGTGTGTTAGAACGATTACGCCAACACGGTCTATATGCCAAGGCTGACAAATGCAGCTTTGAGCAGCACAGTATTGTGTTTTTGGGGCTGATCATCTCCACCACGGGGATTGCGATGGATCCTCAGAAGGTCTCCGCAATTTTGATTGGCCAATACCCACGGATATTGGGTTTTCAAATTTTTATAGAAAATTTATTAGGAACTTCTCTGGTCTGGTTTCCCCTATTACTCAGTTGACCAAACAGGGAGTCCGTTTTAAACTGACGCCCGAGGCTCAAACAGCCTTTGAAATCCTGAAGAAGCTGTTCACCACCACTCCCATTCTCAGTCACCCTGATTCATCCTTGCCTTATGTCTTAGAAGTGGATGCTTCAGAAAACGCAGTAGGGGCCGTCCTGTCACAGAGGGAGGGCACCAAGGAGCTCCTGCACCCAGTAGCATTCTTCTCGATGAAACTTACACCGGCAGAAAGAAACTATGACATTGAAGATCGGAAGCTTTTGGCCATTAAAACGGCACTAGAGGAGTGGAGATACCTGCTGGAAGGAGCCACACATCCAATCCTGATCTTCACCGATTACAAGAACTTGGAGTATTTGAGAACAGCGAAACGTTTGAGACCACGCCAAGCGAGATGGGCACTCTTTTACTCCCGGTTTTCCTTCCACATCACGTACAGGCCAGGCTCCAAAAACACGAAACCCGATGCCCTTTCGCGCATGTTTGAAGACCCTGAAGAAGTCACTAAGCCTGACACTATCTTGTCCTCGGGGAACTTTCTTGCTCTCCAGACGGAGCTACGTTCCAGGCTACAGGATGCATCCGTGGGAATGCCAGACCCACCTGGGGTATCCCTCCAGAGCAAGGGAGGACTCTTATGGAAAGAAGGTTTAATCGCAGTACCAGAAGAGGTCCGAACATTGGTCTGGGACACTGCCATGATCACCCGATGGCAGGCCATTTCGGGATAGCAAAAACCTTGAGTTAATTCAGCGCACATTCTGGTGGCCAAGTATGATCATGGATTGCGAGCTCTATGTCAAGACCTGCGCCACCTGCCAGAGGAACAAACCTCCAGGAACAAGGCCTGGGGTTTGCTATGCCCACTACCGATACCCGATCGATCATGGCAAATGATTGCCATGGACTTTATAGTTGAACTTCCTCCGTCACAAGGCCACACTGCAATCTTCGTAATTGCGGATCGCCTATCAAAGATGGCCCATTTCGTACCTCTGAAGAATACGCCATCGGCTCTGGAAATCGCGCAAATTTTTATAAGGGAAGTGGTAAGATTGCATGGAGTTCCTGAAGACATTGTGTCAGACCGGGGAGTCCAATTTACCTCGAAATTCTGGAAGGCGTTATGTGAAGCATTAGGAATCAGATTGTCCCTCTCTTCCGCTTACCACCCACAGACAAATGGGCAGACGGTGAGGACTAATGAAACGTTGGAACAATATTTGAGATGCTACACATCCTTCCTGCAGGACGATTGGCTGACACTCTTGCCACTGGCAGAATTCGCCTATAACAACGCGAATCATTCAGCTATGGGGCAATCTTAATTTCTTGCAAATTATGGGTTCCATCCCACGTTTCTGACGGATTTTATGCCTGAAAGCTCAGTTCCTGCCACTCAAAGCACGTTGAGTTTTTTTGCTGCCAACAACAAGGTACTTCAGGAGGCTATTGCAAAAGCGCAAGATAACAAAAGAGCCTTTGACAGGAAGAGAAGGGGAGAACTGGTATTGCAACCTGGGGATCAGGTTTGGCTGGCAACGACGAACTTGAAGATGTCTTGCCCCTTGAAAAAACTGGGGCCGAAGTTTGTAGGTCCATTCCAGGTAAAGGGAATGATCAACAAGGTGGCATATGAACTCACTCTTCCGGAAACCTTTAAGATCCACCCAGTCTTCCATGTGTCGCTGCTGAAGCCAGCTATGCCAGACCCCTTTCCGGATCGGGTGTCAGGGATCCGGGTGTGACCAGAAACGTGTGGACTGACACAAGGAAGTAACAGGCTTCAGGAATGATATAACAACAATATAATTTATTATTAGCCACCCAAATATGTAAAATGCACAGTAAACACACCAACCTTCCACTAATATTAGTATGTGCAGGAACACAGGCGTAGTCAGGGCTGGAGAGGTGGAATGGTCAGGCCGGCCCTATGGTTAACAACCATCTGGTGGTACCTCTAGCAGTCCTCAGGACAGGATTCCCCAGATCGCGGAGTCTAAGTCCCAGTCTGCTTATTCACCAGGGCCCCTGATGGTGGGGATGGACTTGGAGCAGACAGGAACCAGGTCGCGGCCCCTGAGTACACCTGCTCGTGGTAGAGAGTAACACCAGAGGTATATGCAGGTAGAGAGCCTGATGTGAAGAGGCAGAAGGTGTGAGCCGGGATGGCTGGATCTGTGCAGGTTGGATGGATGGCAGAGTAATTAGCATGGTCAGACGGGCCGGGTCGGTAACAGCAGGCAGAGGCACGTCAGGCTGGGCAGCGGGCACCGGGCCATCAGGCGAGGCAGCGAGCACCGAGTCATCCGGCACGACAGCGGGCACCGAGTCACCAAGCTCGATAGCGGGCACCGAGTCATCTGGCACAACAGCGGGCACCGAGTCATCTGGCACGACAGCGGGCACCGAGTCATCTGGCACGACATCGGGCACCGAGCCATCTAGCATAACCGCGGGCATCGGGTCACCAAGCTCGACAGCGGGCACCGAGCCATCTGGCAGGACAGCGGGCACCGAGTCATCTGGCAGGACAGCGGGGCACCGAGGCACCAGGCCGGACCACGGGCACCGAGGCACCAGGCCGGACCACGGGCAACGAGGCACCAGGCTGGATCGGGTCATCAGGCAGGATCACGAACACCTTGTCATCGGGCTGGATTGGGTCATCAGGCTGGGTAGCATATACCAGATCATCAAGCTGGATCGGGTCATCAGGCTGGGTAGCGTACACTAGATCATCAAGCTGGATAGGATCATCAGGCCGGATCGGGTCATCAGGCTGGATAGCGGGCACTAGATCGTCAGGCTGGGTAGGAACATCAGGCCGGGTAGCGTACACTCGGTAGTCGGGCATCAGGGTATCAGGCTGCATTGCGGGCGCCAGGGCACCAGGCTGAACCACGGAAGGCGGGTTCTCAGACGGCAGGCTGGCCAGTTTGGATACTGGCAGGATGGTACTGGTTGGAAAGAATTTTCGCCTTTTCCTGGTTTTAGTTACTGGAGCACTGTAAGTAAGCTCAGGTTTGTAAACGGATATAGCAGCTGTAGGCAGAGAAGAGCTGGGGGATGGAACAAAGGAGGGAGCAGTTGCTACAGAGGACTTCTTTACAGGGTTGAAGGCAGGATAGGTGCAGCGAGTGGGAGCAGGGGACTGACGTGGTAGTTAGCAGGGTATACTGGGCTGTCATTGGGGGTGCTGTCGGGAGTGCAGGAAGAGAGCTTTGAGCAGAGGAATATGAGAAGCAGGACTGGTTTGTTGCAAGCTGACTGAGGCTGGGTGTAACAAGTCTGCTCAGGACTGTAGTATGGGTTGAACACAACTCCGCTTACACATAGCCTGTCTGACCAAAGACTGCACTGTGTCTATAAACTCCACTAGCACATGTGATGGACAAGCTGCATAATGCTCATGGAAGCAATCTGGATCCTCCTCCAACAACCATACCAGCGACTCCACTTGATCTGCACTGAATGTGGGAAAAAAGTCATCCCTGCTTTCAGGGGTACTAGCTGAAGCCAACTCCACAAAAGCCTGAATTAATGGTTGCACCTCAGAGAACTCCGTGCCCTGATCTACCAGGGAATGCGTGACCCCTATGCATTCTAGCAGCTGATCCCTGGTATACTCCTGCAGAGTCTCATAGGCATATTCTTTGTCATCAAAGACTAGCAGACACAAGTATATAACCTCCTCCGGATGCCTCCTTCACAACAATAAGCCAAGATGGCTTCCCTGTGCAGCAACTTCTGGTCAGGAATGGCCTTGGTGTAATGTCAGGGATCCGGGTGTGACCAGAAACGTGTGGACTGACACAAGGAAGTAACAGGCTTCAGGAATGATATAACAACAATATAATTTATTATTAGCCACCCAAATATATAAAACGAACAGTAAACACACCAACCTTCCACTAATATTAGTATGTGCAGGAACACAGGCGTAGTCAGGGCTGGAGAGGTGGAATGGTCAGGCCGGCCATATTGGTTAACAACCGTCTGGTGGTACCTCTAGCAGTCCTCAAGACAGGATTCCTCAGGGCGCGGAGTCTAAGTCCCAGTCTGCTTATTCAACAGGGCCCCTGATGGTGGGGATGGACTTGGATCAGACAGGAACCAGGTCACGACCTCAGAGTACACCTGCTCGTGGTAGAGGGTACCACCAGAGGTATATGCAGGTAGAGAGCCTGATGTGAAGAGGCAGAAGGTGTGTGCCGGGATGGCTGGATCCGTGCAGGATGGATAGATGGCAGAGTAATTAGCGTGGTCAGACGGGCCGGGTCGGTAACAGCGGGTCAGCGTGGTACTAGGCAGCAGGCAGAAGAGTAGTTGGGTCACTCGCCAGGGTCAGTAACAGGAGTTCAGATCAGATTAGGGATGTCCAGGAGAGGTAGTCAAACGAGCCAGGGATCAAGCCGGAGAATTCAGCATAGGTCAGGATCAGGCAGGGTCGGCAACAAATCAGATAGACAGAACAGGAACACAGGATACAAGGTACAGGGGCTCATGGGAAACATACACCAAGGCACTGATCACAGGCCTGGTCCGGCTTACACACCTCCTGCAATCAGCCTCAGGTGATGGCCTGATTGCAGGAGTGAGATTCTGGCTGCTGAGAGCACCCGCTGGCCAGCCTTGGTACTGCAGCCCACAAGGCAGGTGAGTCCCACCACCATTGGCAAGTCCATTCCTGACATCGGGAGTACAGACCTCCAGAAGCAATAACCATAGATGAACAAGAAGAATTTGAGGTGGAAGCAATCCTGAACTGTCGAAAAAGGGGGGGGCTAGACACAGTTCCTGATCAAATGGAAGGGTTATGGCCCTAAAGAGAACTCATGGGAACCCGCCCAAAATGTTCATGCCCCTAGGCTTATCCAGGAATTTTATCGTAGCCACCCATGGTGGTAAGGAGGGGGCAATGTCAGGGTCCACTGCGGCGCTCGGTCCGGCGCATACGCAGTTTGCCGACTCGTGCTGGGCTGCGGGCGCTAGGTCTTGGCCGACTGCGGCAGAGACTAACTCGCGCATGCGCACTGGGGGCCGCAGGTGCGCGCCTGGCACTAATGACAGCGTGGGGTGCGGTATTTAAATCCACCCTGCGCTGACACTGGTTGCCGCCTGGTCTATCCTCTGTTCCCTGCTTCTATATTCGTTGATATTTGATCGTTGCTGACCTGGATTGCCCCTGACTGTGCTGTATTCTCCTGCTCTGACCCCTGGCTTGCCTGACCTCTCTTGGATGCCCCTGTCAGGGCAGGGCTGTGGAACGGACAGGTAGGCCTAGTGGCAGGGTAACGCACTGGCTGACGACAACCACCACCAACAGACCGAAGTCCCTCAGGGCGCGGAGTCTAAGTCCCAGGCTGCCCTTCACCAGGGCCCCTGATGGTGGGGATGGACTTGACGCAGCCAGGAACCAGGTCGCGGCCCCCGAGACACCCCGGCTGCGGTAATGGCCGCCGCCAATGGCGTGTAGCTGGTGAGAATGACAATAGCGTAGTCAGGCAAGCTGGGTCAACAACAACGGGACAAAACAGTACAGAACAGTAGACAGAGAATCACAGGTCACGGGCCGGGTTCAGCAACGGAAGGTCAGATCGAAGGAAAACACAGAGAATGGTCTAGTCACAAGCCGAGTCAAATACCAGAAGAGTCACGAGCATATACACAGAGCTGTAGCAAGACCAAGACACAAGACACAAGACACAAGTGCAAAGAGCATGTGCGGATCACAGGCTTATATGTACTCAGCCACACCCCTCTGGGGGATGGACCTCAGAGACCTGAAGGCATAAAAGCTTCCCACCATGCTCAGCATAAATCCAAGATGGATGCCAGCACATGGAGTAACATAACCTCTGGGAAAAGGTAGGACCTTGACAGCCCCCTATTGTATCTGATCTTCTGGTACTGACCCTGCGTGTGACCTGACTATCCTCTGCCTGCCACCTTGTACCGCCGCCTTGTACCACGCTGCTCCCACGGTAACCGACCCGGCCTGTCTGACCACAAATCCATCCATCCATCCATCCTGCTCGGGCCCTTCCGCCTCTTCACATCAGGCTCTCATCTTGTAGATATCTCCGGCGGATCTCTCTACCACGGGTGGGCGTACTCAGAGGCCGCGACCTGGTCCTGGTCTGCTCCAAGTCCATCCCCACCATCGGGCCCTGGTGAACAAGCAGATCGGGACTTAGACTCCGCGCTCTGGGGAATCCTGTCCGGTGGGTTGCCAGAGGTACCGCCAGGTGGATCATTACAGCGTGGTTACGGTCCTAAGGAGCGTTCCTGGGTTCCTTCCGTGGATGTTCATGCTCCTGCCCTCCTCCGCGCTTTTCATGCCCGCTTTCCTCAGAAGCCTTACGTTGAGCCGCAAAGGGGGAGGGGCCCTTGAGGAGGAGGTACTGTCAAGGTCCTACCTTTCCTCAGAGCTCGTGTTGCTCCATGTGCTGGCATCCATCTTAGGTTTCTGCAAAGCATGGTGGGAGCCTTTTATGCTTTCAGGCCTCTGCGGCTACTCCTCCAGAAGGGTGCGGCTGATCACATTTAAGCCAGCTGTCTGCAGTTGCTCTTTGCATTCGTGTCCTGTATGTTATATTGCAGCAAGCTCTCGTTCAGCTCTTGTGACTTTCCTGGAAACCGACTCGGCTTTGACAAGACTATTCTTTGCCTTATCCCATTACCTGACCTCCCGTTGCTGAACCCGGCCTGTGACCTGAGTATTCTTGCCTACCGTCTTGTACCGTCTGTTCTGCTGTTATCGACCCGGCCTGTCCGACCACGCTATACGTCTTCCCATCTGGCCCCACCAGCTATACGCCATTGGCGGCAGCCTGTTACCGCAGCTGGGTTTACTCGGGGGCCGCGACCTGGTCTCAGGCTGCGTCAAGTCCATCCCCACCATCAGGGGCCCTGGTGAAAGGCAGCCTGGGGCTTAGACTCCGCGCCCTGAGGGACTCCGGTCTGTGGGTGGTGGCTGTCGACAGTCGGTGCGTGACCTTACCATAAGGCCTGCCTGCCCATTCCACCGCTCCTGCCCTGACAAGTGTGGAGTTCTCTTAGTGAGGTCATTCATTCTTTGAAAAACAGGTGGCAATTATTGCCCTTATTTAAGGAAGGAAGGCAGCAAACATTGTACATGCTGGTTACAGTGCATTTCTCTCTGAAATTCTGAGGAAAGTGGGCCGTTCTAGACATTGTTCAGAAGAACAGCGTACCTTGATTGAAAAGTTGATTGGAGAGGGGGAAAACATATAAAGAAGTGCAGAAAATGATAGGCAGCTCAGCTAAAATGATCGCTAATGCTTTAAAATGGCAACCAAAACCTGAAAGACGTGGAAGAAAGCAAAAAACTACCATTTGAATGGTTAGAATAGCCAAAATGGCAAGGACTGAGCCAACAATCAGCTCCAGGAATATCAAAGAAGGTCTAAAGTTACCTGTGAGTACTGTTACAATTAGAAGACGCCTATGTGAAGCCAAGCTATCTGCAAGAAGCCCCCGCAAAGTCCCACTGTTGAAAAAAAGACATGCTGAAGAGGTTACAATTTGCCAAAGAGCACATTGACTGGCCTAAAGAGAAATAGCACAACATTTTGTGGACTGATGAAAGTAACATTGTTCTTTTTGGGTCTAGTGGCCGCAGACAGTTTGTCAGACGACCCCCAAACACTGAATTCAAGCCACAGTACAGTGTAAAGACAGTGAAGCATGGTTGCGCAAGCATCATGATATGGGGATGTTTCTCATACTACGGTGTTGGGCTTATTTATCGCATACCAGGGATCAT